TACAAAATGACCCAGCCTTCACAGCCCTCCGCAGTAAAGAATTCCACAGATTCACTACCCTCTCAGAAAAGAAATTCCTCCTCACTTTGCCTTAAATGAGGGACCACTTATTCTAAGATTATGCCCTCTGGTCCTAGACTCTCCCACAAGGGGGGATCAACTTCTCAGCATCTACTTTATCAATATAAGAACCTTATATCTTGAAATAAGGTAACCTCTCATTCTTCTAAATTCCAATAAATAGTAAAGATTTAGTAATTTAATTAAAATAGTAACTAGACCGATTCCCAGAATGAGGGGATTGTCCCACAAGGAGAAATTGAGTAGACTAAGCCTCTAAATCCTAGAATTTAAAAGGAAGGGAGGTGATTTCATTGAAACTTTTAAAATTCTTAAGGCGTTTGCGAAGGTGATGGGACAAAATGTTCCCTGACTCAGGAAATCCAGAACTAGGGAATCACAGACTCACAATAAAGCACTTAGACATTTACAAGTGAGTTGGAGAGAGTTTTATCACTCAAATGTTTGGTCATTGAGTATATTCAAGAGAGTTTTTTTTAATTTAAAGGAATCAGGAGATTTGATATTATGCAGGAAGGTAGGATTGAATTAGAAGATCAAAGTGGCCTTGAATAGTAGAGCAGAAACGAGGGGTCTTTTTAAGCTTACTTCTTTCATAATTTATTAGGATGTGCACATAATTGGTAAGGCAAGCATTTGTTGACCATCCCCCTAAGTAGGGGATGGTGAGCCACCTTATCGAACAGTCCATTTGGGGTAGATGCACCCACAATGCTGTTTGGGGAGAAATTCCATTTTTTTAAAATCCAATGAGGAACGGGGATACATTTCCAAGTCTGGATGGTGAGTGGCTTCAACAGTAGCTTTATTATAGTGGTGTTCCCGTATGTCTACTTTCTTGTTCTTCTATGTAGAAGTTGCGCGTTTGGAAAGTATTGTCAAAGGAGCCTTGTCAAGTTGCTGCAGTGCATCCTGTAGATAGTACACAATGCTGTCACTGCACATCAGTAATAGGATGAATGAATATTAAACTAGATATGGTGCTAATCAAGCAACCTGTTTTGTCCTTGATGGTGTGAAATTTCCTGAGTGGTGTTGGAATTGTCCTCATTCAGGCAGGTGAACAGTAGTCCATCACACTACTAATTTGTGTCTTGTAGATGTTGACAGGCATTAGGGAATCTGGAGTCAGGTAAGTTAAGTTGATATACATTTGCAAAATAAGGCTGATATATTTTTCCTTAGTATCTGTATAATTTGTTAAAATGTCTTACAGTCTTTTGTCTGTGAAGCGAGTTTTAATCTTCAGTTGTTTGATGGAAATTAAATAATACTGCAAACATTTAGCTGGTAAGATTCAGCTACAAGCTTCCTTTGTCCTCTGCCCAGTAGATCATTCAGCTGTCATCCCAGGAGATATTCACCAAAGCTGCATCTGTGTAAGGAACGTGGTCAAAGGGAGTCTTTGTTCATTAATTCCCTTCTAACTGTCAGTAGTTGAATGATTCATAGAGACACAGAGTCATAGAAACAGAGCCTTTGGTCCAACTTCTCTATGCTAACCAGATATCCTAAATTAATTTATTCCCATTTGCCAGCATTTGGCCCCTATCCCCCTAAACTCTTCCTATTCACGTACCCATCCAGATGGCTTTTCAATGTTGTAATTGTACCAGCCTTCACCACTTCCTCTGGCAGTATACACACACCACCCTCTGCGTGAAGAATTTTCCCCTTAGGTCCCTTTCATATCTTTTCCCCTCTCACCTTTTAAACCTATGCCCTCTAGTATTGGACCCCTCTATCCTGGGAAAAAAAACTTGTCTATTTACCCTATCCATGCCCCTCAGATTTTATAAAGCTCTACAAGGTCACCCTTCAGCCTCCAATGTTCCAGAGAAAATAGCTCCAGCTTATTCAGCCTCTCTCTATAGATTCAAAAGTGAGAGTAATTATTCCTACTGAAACTGCAGTGAGGTAGAATAACTAGTTGAAAGATACGAAGCTACCAAAGATGTGGATTTTCACGTAGCTACGTTTGGATAAAGTTAAAGCACAAGCAGTATGTTAGAATGCCTCAAAACTCAGAAGTTGAGAAATATGTGAATTTTCCAGTGAATGTATTTTCATATGTGTGCTTTTACATGTATTTGTAAATATTGTGAAGATGTTATCGATACTTTGTGAATAACTATAAATGTGAAGCATATCTTCGCATGAATTCCAACCCCTATGAGATTAAAAGCCAACATCCCATTAACATTTTTGATTCTGTGCAGAAACTGTTTGGTTTGTGAACGAAGAACGAGTTACTCCTTTTCCTTCACAGTTATGTCAAAAAAAGATGAAGATTGTCATGGATTAATTCATGAATAAGTATTTGTTGATACGTTATTTGTCATTGTGCTGTAAAGATAGAACGGTGTTTGATAATGCAGTAAGCATAAGTAAACAATATCCTCTCTATCATCACCTTCCACCCATTCCCACAGCACTAGCCTGTCATAGACTCTGCAGTGCCTACTTCACTTGCCCAGGACACCTCACCACCTGCACCAACACTATCAGCTGGGCCACCTACTTTCATTCCAGGAGAAAACAGTCCATAACAGGGGAGAAAGAGGTGGAATGGGTCCCTGATAACACGTTCATCACCCACTATGGAGACAGAACCCTGTACCTCATAGGAGAGGGTTAGGACCCGGGAGGGGGGCAATGCTGAAAAACCCGTGTCCCAACCAAATCTCACTCTTTATTCCACTGCACAGTAACCCCAATGTAACTACTATTCATTGTACACCACTGCTGTCAATTAGCTGTGTCATCTCTCTGCCTTGGGTCTTGCAGGTACCAGTGGGATGTTGATGGCCCCTACAAAGAAATGGCTTGCTCAGTCAGCAGCAACCCCCCACCAGTCCAGATACTGACAGTTTGGTGGGAGTCAGATTTAGGAAGTTTGGGAGGACAATCTGATGAGCACTGCCTTGTGACAACTCTGCAGCTGGCTGAAGAAGAAACTCCCCAGGTTGCTGACGTTCAGAGGGCTGCTGGACACCAGGTAGGCATCTGCTCAGCTCCAGCAGAAGAAAGCTGAATGGTGTCGACGTGCACAGGAAGGTGCAGGAGTGACAAGACAGTTACGTGGCACCCAATAACCCTCACAGCCCTGAGTCTATAGGAGTGCAGCTATGCTGTAGGGATCCAGCTGCCTGAAGCATGTTGCTGTGGGTCTGGAGTAATATGTAGGCCAGACCACAATAAGGATAGCAGTCATCCACAGTTACACCAGTACCATCCCCACCTCTTCCTCCACTACATCGATGACTGTATTGGCCCTGCCTTGTGCTCCCATGAGGAGCTCGAACAGTTCACTCACCTCACCAACACCTTTCACCCCAACCTCAAATTCATCTGGACCATCTCCAACACCTCCTTCCCCTTCCTGGCCCTCTCTGCCTCCGTCTCCGGCAACCAACTCAGCACCAACATCTACTTCAAACCCACTGACTCCCACAGCTACCTGACGACACCTCCTCTCACCCACCCTCCTGCAAGAATGCAATCCCACACTCCCAATTCTTTCTGCCTCTGCCGCATCTGCTCCTGGGATGAAGCATTCCACTCCCCGACACCCCAGCTATCTTCCTACTTCAAGGACTGTAATTTCCCCTCTCCCATGATTCAGAATGCCTGCAACTGCATCTCCCACACTTCTGCCCTCAAACCCCTCCCCCCCAAACAACAAGGATAGAGCCCCTAGTCCCCAGCCCACCAACCTCCGAATCCAATGCATCATCCTCTGCTACTTTTGCCACCTACAATCGGACCCCACCACCAGAGATGATATTTCCCTCCCCACCTCTACCTGCTTTCCATGGGGACCGGTCTCTCCACGACACCCTCGTCCGCTCCACACTCCCCACTAGCCCCACCATCACGGCACCTTTTCCTGCAACTGCAGGAAGTGCTACACCTGCCCCTACACCTCCATCCAAGGCGCCAAACAATCATTCCAAATTCGACAGGGATTCACCTGTACAACTTCTAACCTGGTCTACTGCATCCACTGCCCTACATTGGAGAGACCAAATGCAGTCTGGGTGACAGGTTCGCAGAGCATCTATGCTCTGTATGCTCCAATTGACACCACCTTCCAGTTCCCAGCCATTTCTACTCCCCTTCCCATTCCCTTCGTGACATACCCATCCTGGGCCTCCTCCAATGTCACAATGAGGTCACACAAAAATTGGAGGAACAACATCACTTCAGAAGCTTACAGCCCGATGGCCTCAACACAGAATTCACCAGCTTCAAAATCTCCCCACCCCCGGCCTCATCCCATGTCCAACCCTCCCTCTCATCCCCGCCTCCTTGATCTGACACAAACTGTTCATCTTCCTTCTCACCTATCTGCCCCACCCTTCCCATTGACCAATCTCCACATCCCCCTACCTGCACCCACCTATCACCAACCCCAATCCCCTATTTATTTCTGAGCTCCCTTCCCCCTCCCCAGTCCTGGTGAAGGGTCCTGACCTGAAACGGCAACTTTCCTGCTCCTCTGATGCTGCCTGACCTGTCGTGTTCCTGCAGCTCCACACTGTATTGTGTGTGAGCAGTGCAGATGGGAACTACAGTTGATCATGTAGTTCCTTAAACCTGGTATGCCAATCAATAAGCTAGAAGCTGATTGTGACCTAGCTCAATGTAGCAGCGTCCTAGCCGCTAAAACACAGATTGCCAACTTGGCCAAACAGCAAGGGATACTGGGTACATCATCCAAGTGAAACTCTGAACTCACAAAACCCACAGTGCAATCACAGCAGCCAGGTGCTATGACATTAGCATAATGTAAAAGGCTGCACAGACACCCCCAACAACTTATCCACGAAACAAAGGGCAGCCCAGACAGAAAGGCACTGGGTCCTGCTACACAAAGAAACTTGACAGTAGCATGCCAACTAAATGATTGACTCTAGTTTCAAATTATTAAAACCTGAAGAGTAATACCTGAAATGTTGATTGCTCCGTTCCTCCAGATGCTGCCTGGCCTGCTGTGTTCTTCCAGCCTCCTGTCTGTCTACCTGGGATTCCAGCATCTGCAGGTTTTTTTTGTCTCTATTAAGTGTATCTCCCTTAGAACTGATCAGAACTACAGAAAGTTCCAGCAAACCATCTAAAAGGTATAAAAACAGAGTTCACCTGCAGACTGCTCTCAGACCTGCTCTTGGAATTGGCAGAGGCCTTTTCAGGACACCCTTTTCAGGACACCAGCACAGCAAGAGGCAGAGACCAGCTGACCGTCCAGAGAGAGGGAGAAAGCAGCTTTGCAGACCCAGAGACAGAGCCACAGACACAGTGACTGTGTAAATTTACAAGAGACTAGGGAAATATTAACCGTAAATGGCCAAATAGAATTAGGAATAGTATGTTTAGTATTAAAAATTATTGTAATTTTGTTCATAATAAAGTGGGAATGTTTTGCTTTGGTACCAGCTTGTGTTCGTGTTGATTTGACTGCTTCAGTATTGTGGGATACCTAGGCAAATTCATTCATAACATTCTGGTTAAAGTTGTCTGGTTAAACTTGTTTAAAGAGGAACAAGATGACATCTTCACCCATATCCATTAATAGATCTACACAGAAGCAGAAAGAGGCACTGACAGATTAAATGCACAGTCAAAACTAGGGTAAATGTGGTCATCCAATTTAATAAAGGGTACCATATTTTCTAAAGGATGAACAGCTAGAAACGCTGGCGATCCAAAGAGAGTTCTGAAGGATCATCATTGATCTGAAACTTCAACTATGGTTCTCTCTAGAGAAAACTCTGATCTGACCGCCTGAGTATTTCTAGCTAGTTTACTTTTTATTTCAGATGTCCAGTATATATATTATTTGTGTGGAGGTCCAAAGAGAATTGTGGCTGCACGTACATAAATCATTAAAACGCCATGAAGAGATTCAAAACTTCCCATGGAATTCTGGTCTTTAATATCTAACAAACTAACAGACATGGGGACAGGGGTGCTTCAACTGTACAAAGTCCTGGTTGTACAACACCTGGAGTACCACAAGCCATTCCAGACACCACATCTTAGGAAGGAGCACCGCATAGGCATTACCAGAATAATCCTGGCCTCCAAGGCTTAAATTCTGAGAAGATATTACACAAACTAGGCTTGTATTCCCTGAGGTTCAAGAGATTGGGGGGTAATTTGATAAAGGAAACAAATAGGGTAGTGTCAACAATGGCTCAGTTGTTAGCACTTCTGTTTGTGTTTCCAGGTCCAAAACAACCAGGGCTGATACTTCACAGCAGTAGGAGAAATAGAAACTAAATGACAAAAGATCAAAGAACAAACCTGGAAACTTCTTCCCAGAACAATAATAAAGTTCCCTTTGTCCTCACTTTCATCCCATCTACAAATGATCGTTCTCTGCCATTTCTGTGTGATGTTACCACCAAATATCTTTCCCAGTTAGCATTCCAAAGGGATAGTTTTCTCCCCAGCACCCTGGTCCACTCCTCAACACACTCCTCCACTTCTCACAGCAGCTTGCCATGCGAGTGCAGGAGATGCAACACCTGCCTTTCACCTCCTCCCTTCTCTACCCAAACATCCCTTCCAGGTGAAAGAGCAATTTACTCGTACTCCTTTCAATATAGTATACTGTAATCACTGCTCACATTGTGGTCTGCTTTACATCAGAAAGGGTGATTATGTTTCCAAACAGCTTGGTTCAGCCCACAAGTTTGACTGGTGACCTGCCAGTGCAACATTTTGCTCTCTCACTGTGTTTTCTGTCCGCAGCCTGCTGCTGTGTTCCAATAAAGCTCAATGCAAACTTGTTATCTTTTGAGTAGGCACTTTATAGCATATGCATGTATATAAAATCAAAAGAGGTAGCTGGACCATAAGTTGATTTTACTGATGACACAAACCTAAATGAAAATAATTTTTAAAATTGCAAGAACAGGAAAGTTTAAGATAATATAGTACAGTCGGTTCTGCTATAAACGCACTACAAGATCATGTCTCACTTACACAATTTGGTTTTTAATCTCTTGGTTCTAATTTCTTTAACCGGACTGACATGTTAGGATGTAGTAAAATCAAAATATATACAAGCATGTAACAACAGGAAGCAAAATACACAGCTAATTCTACAAGTGAGAGACATCCAAATACCCACTGGGTTTAAATCAGAGGGGGCAGGATGCAGGCTGCTGAATACCATCACAGCGGAACAATTAGTGATGTGACAGGCAAAATTAAGCAGAATCTTTGAAGATGGAATCCAGAAAGAAACTGTCCCGTCCCAGCATTCTCTTCCATCAGGGTGACAGGAACACATGGACCTCAGATGCATGTTCTCTCCAAAAGGTCTGAAGCATTGGTCCAGGGGAGTCAATTCACAAAGTTAGAAGAAATGTTGGAAATTGGGAGTAAAACAGCAAATCACAGATCAGTCAGCATACAAAGTAGAAAAAGAATCTGTAGAACAGTCTCAGCTCAGACATTAACTTGTCTTTATCTCTTTAGGATGTTGACTGATCTAATGTACTTTTCTAGTGTTTTCTGTTTTTAGTCTAAGCAATCAGTGGCAATTCCTGAAGAGTGATGATATTTAAAAAACAAACACTGAAATGCTGCTACAAATTATTCCACTGTCCCTTTGACGTGAGTTTTCTCCCATCTAGCCTGAGTTCCCAATCCTGAATGACATCCAGTGATGCCCACAGTAAAGCAGTCTTGTATGGACATTGGATAAGGAGTGAATCAGACTTGCCTATGTTCGTTAGTATCCAGAGTAAAACTGTTTGCTGTCTATGCCTAAAATTGAACTGCAGCCTCTGCAGGAAACCTGTGGAACCACAGCATTATAAGTAGCCAATGCCTTGAGGTGCGGGGTAGAAAAGTAGTAGAAAGGTAAAAATTGGCAGGGTAAAAAATGGAAAAGGGAAACAATAAAAAAAGTTTATTTAGTACAAGCTTGTTATTAATTTTTAAACCATATATTTTTGACCACAATTAAGATGCAAGATTTAAAATAAAAATATGTAAATGGCCTGCACAATTTTTAAAATTCTGTTCTGAAGATGTCCAGGGAAAGTGACATAATGCACTTGTTATACTGTGCACTTTAGTTCTGTAGCAGAATAAGTATCAGTACATAAACCCATGTATGAAGCTGCATTCGTTAATGATCTTCATCCTTAAACATATGAAGTTGCTTGATACCAGGAGTGTCCAAAGCTTTAGGTCCAAACTTAGGTCATGGCGCATACACGGTTCCTTGATGTCCAATATAAAGGTTAAATGAATATTCCGGTTAATTGATGTTGACATTTTCATTTATTGCCAAATGCACCTTTTCTAAATCTCCAAGATCATAAAATTTAAATAGTATGGAATATGCAATACTAAACTGAAACCAAGTTGATTGGACTTTGTGGGTTCAATCGCCAGAAGTTGTGGGCCATCATATGGACACCCTAGCTTTACATGGACATTCTACACTGAACGACCTTCCAACTGTATTCAGGTTTATAGCAAAAACATTGGCTGCCAAACATGAAACGGAAACAAAAACGCACCAGAGACAATGACCCTGAAATCTGATCTGCGGGCAGCTGGTCCTGGTCTTCCTCTAGATCCACTCTGCCAACTCCTCTGCCTCTCTGGAATTCCACCCATAAACGATAGACTCCATAATCATAACCATTTCTTCTATAGACTGCGTCTTGTGCATCTCTGCCAATGCAAGGGGGGAGGAAGAAGTTAAGCCACAATTTTCCATCTATTTGGAAATTTCCTCCTATGTGTAACTCAAGGAAAGATCCAGTCAATGTTGCCACCAATACGATGTCTATAATTGATCTATTTATTTCAGATGTTCCAGAGGATTCCCAGCTGAGAAGTAAACGGATGGTCCTGTTGGCTGAACAGCATCATCACAAGCTGCAAAGGTACACAGGTATATCAGCACAAAAAGAACTTTGGAGCTGAACCTAGAAAAAGAAATACAATTTTTTTCAATTAAAATAGGTTATGTTTCAAGGGTGGAGAGAGTCCTTCTGAACTTTATTGAACTCGGCTGATCATTTAGTATGCAGTCCAACACACAGCTGAGTTTCCTACAGTATTGGAACTGCACAAACTTGTCTGTCTTGTAAGCTTCCAAGTGACTACAGTATAGGAGGCTCTAAATGTACAATTCACAGATGTCAAAATCTAATGGTAATAGTGCTAAATTTTAATACAACATCCAATTAAAGTTATGACAAAACATTTATTGTATATAGAGAAATTTTAAGATGTACAAATGCTGATAAAATACTACTAATAATAGGGCTAACAGTGTGGAGCTGGATGAACATAGCAGCATCAGAGGAACAGGAAAGCTGACGTTTCAGATCTGAACCCTTTTTCTGAAGAAGAGTCCAGACGCGAAACGTCAGCTTTCCTGCTCCTCGGCCTGCCGTGCTCATCCAGCTCTACACCTTGTTATCTCAGATTCTCCAGCATCGGCAGTTCCTACCATCTACTAATTATAGGTACAGTCGGTTCTGCTATAACGCGATTGCTGCATTCCTGCGCAACATTGCATTATAGAAAATCGTGCTATAGCAATAATGGGGCCTATGGGTAAAGCGGGGTTGGGGCAGACCACCAAAAAAAAACCCAAAAATCACTCAAAAGACTAACACAAAAAGGATAGTACAGTTTGAATAAATGTTTTAATCATACCTAATAAATGAAATTAAAGTAAATTTAACACATTACCTTGACAAAACGTCAAGTTGACTTGATGGGGGAGGAGGTTTTGAGGTTGGTCTGTTGTTAATGCAGGGGCTGAGGGTCATCATCATCACCACTTTCAGATGCAGTTGTGGTTGCACGTTTAGGGCGAAAAATAGTTAATCCAGAAGTGGATGACTGCGGTTCATTGCTTTCCAACTGTTTCTTGGGGGTTGGCTTAAAAAAGGCATCCAGTTTTTGTTGGTTTGCCCTTTCTCTTCGTTCATGAAGAAGCTTTTCATAGGGTGCCAAATAAGATCTTATTCCATGAACTGCTACCCTGCTGCGTTCTGCATTATAATCGGTATCCTCTAAGAGCTGCAACTGTTTTTCAATTTCCCTCAGGATTGAAGACAAAACAGAAGTGGAAAGCTCTCGTGGTGCTGCATCCTGAACTATTACAACTTCATCTCCAGCTTCCACTTCCCGCTCAGCGACTAGTTGTTGTAGATCAGCTGTAGAGAGATCTTCACAGTGGCCTTCTTCGTCAATTAATTTTACTATGGCAGGAAATGCCATTGCATGCTCCGCATCTGCATTGACAGCTTTGCCACATAACTTTACGTTATGAAAAGCGTAGCGGTTCTTAAAACCAGCAAACCAGCCACTGCTAGCACTAAAGGCAGGCACATCTGCAGGATTTTCAGCTTTTTTTGTTAAATCTTCATAAATTGATAAGGCTTTCTCTTTTATGCTGAGAAAGGTGGTCCCAGATCGCTTTTTCATTTGATCTTCTATCCACACACTTAGAAGACGCTCCATCTCTTCAAGCTCCTTTGTCCGTGACCTCATAGATTTGCTAGCACTCAGACTTGTTCCAGCAATATAGCTTGCTTTAATTTTTTCTGCATTGTCTCTAATGGTGCGCAAGGTGGACTCCTTTATTCCTGTTACGCGAACTATATCACATGTTCTCTCATTACGCTCAAAACGCTTTATAACATCTAGCTTCTCTTCCAGTGTTATAGCCTTTCTCTTACGTTCACCACCAGCAATTTTATCACCAGGACGCTTCCTGCTAACATTCTTGTCACTTTGTCCTCGCATTTTTGTGGGTAACAAGGCAGAATTTGCAAAAATAAAACAAATATCCCGGAGTACCGTACCTCTCACAGAATGCGCTTCGTGACAAAATCTGCGAAATGATCATGTGATGCTGGCATGGAGACTCTTTTCAGCACTAACAGTGCACATGCTCAGGACAAAGCTCCCAAAACAATCATGTGATGTCAACGTGGTGGAAGATGTCGACACGTATTCCGCGCACCCGATCAAATGGCGTTATAGCCAACACAAGTTTGCGTTTTAGGAATAGCGCTCCCCTATTCTTCAGTCACATTATAGCCAATTCGCATTGCTAGAACACGCATTATAACAGAACCGACTGTATAACTTTGGTATAAAATGTTACTTTGTATAGTATATATATGTAATGCACTCAGTTGCATGAGGCAAACATCGATTTTTTGTTTACACTCAAAGCAGCATATTCACATTTGGGTTGCATCTCTACATTTATGTCAAAGATGCAATTCACAAACCTTAGAAAACTTTAAAAAGGGAAATACAAAATTAATTCAACTTCTTTGTATTGCACATGATCGCTACTGTAAATTATGACTGCTGCTGTCATTTTTTGATATTGTTTCAACAATAACTATAGAAATCAATATTATTCTATCAAATCTTGTTCTCTGCAGCTGATATCTACATATCACTGACACTTTGTTGCAGGGAGGACATTACTACAGTCATATGGATCTGACGAGAAAAAGAAATCTAGGAGGGAAGGATCCACTGCCATTGTTACATCATGATGAGCCACTGCTGCCATAAGGTTTTTCCCGCTTGGGTCCCATGAATTCGAGTCCTTCAATTGGGATTTCTTTTTCCTTGATAGCTTTCTGTAATTAAAATAAATTCACTCTCATTAATGAGCACCAGTTACATTGGAAACCCTGAAGTCATTTGCATAGACAGTTATTTAAAAACAAATAAAGAAACAGAACAAAAAATTTATTTGATACTTTCTTCAGTAAATGGTAACAATAAAACCTTGACTCTCTTTCCCACTGTGTTTCGAGTCCCTTTTTTGAATACAATCTAACACCCAGTGCAATGCAGTCAGAGGTGCTATTTTTTTCAAATTAAAATGTTAAATCCTTTTCAAATGGATGCAAATATCCCACCAGCGTTATTTGAAGAGTATGGGAGTTCCTCTGCCTGTCATCAGCAGTATTCAACCGCAAAGCATAATTAACAGATTATTTATTTATCATATTGTTTGCAAGAATATTTACATAAAATGACTGCTGTATTCCCTATGTTGCTATAATTCAAAAGTTAATTTAAGTAACTGTGAAGGACTCTGGGACACCCTACAGTTAGAATGGACTCTCAATACTCCAACAATGGGCCAACCATCATTCTGAATGAGGATCCTTCCAGTTCTTCAGACAACACTGCAAAATAGTGAGACAACAAGGTGCAGGGCTGGATGAACACAGCAGGCCAAGCAGCATCATAGGAGCAGAGAGGCTGACGTTTCGGGCCTAGACCCTTCATCAGAAAAGGGGGAGGGGAAGGGGGTTTTGAAATAAATAGGGAGGGAGTGGGAGGCGGATAGAAGAGGGATAGAGGAGAGGATAGGTGGAGAGGAAACAAACAGGTCGAAGAGGCGGGGATGGGGCCAGGAAAGGTGAGTGCAGGTAGGGAGTTAGGAAGGGGATAGGTCAGTCCAGGGAGGACGGACA